GAACCTTCCCTCAGGGAGGAGAGCAGGGGGAGTGGGAAGATGTGCTGACATCTCACCTCGTTTGTTATCCCAGGGAGCCTGCAACCGACAGGGATGAGAACAGCAGCGTGGAGAGCTGCTGGCATCTCTGCAACAGTGTCACACATTTAATTTATGGTGTTAATACACATCAAGAAGTTCTGTGTCCATGGAACAACTGTGGGGAGGGCTGACCTTTCCCAGACTTGGCTTGTTTTCTATCCTGCTTTTGGGATCATCTGGAGCTGATCAGGCTGGTAACCTAAAAAAATCAGTATTGCCTAAAAATATAGACAATCACTTTTGTTTTCAGTGGAGCAACATTTGCTGTAAGTAGAGGGTTGGGTTGTTTGAAAATAAGTTTCAGTGTTCCAGCTCCACTGTGCACCAGCCTTGCTTTTAAATTTATAACTCTCCAAAATGAAAAGTAAATGGATTGTGTTATTCCCAGCCCTTTTATAAAAGTTAACATTGCAAAAACAGATGTGAAATGTGGCCTCGCAGATTACAGCCTGAGCTTGGGGTTTTTAGGTTGGGGTTTTATTTTTTCCTTACTCTCTCTGTGCTGTGTCCCTGAGGAGCAGAAATCTGCCTTTTTCCAGCAGGAGGAAAATTGTTCTGTGTCTAAATTGCCTCCTGCCAGGCTTGTGTGGATGCTGCAGGACACGGAGCTCCAAGGAACGATAACGCCTTTACAAAACCAGGCAACTTAGCAGGGAATTTTTAATTAGGAATGTGCAGGAAGGTTCAGATTGCCTGGGAATTTGGTAGTGCTCTAACACACCTCCCAGTCCTAGGCCATCCATTCCAGTGTGGCCCTGGGAGATGGTGATTAAAGGCACTGGCAAGCAGGTTATTATCTCCAGCTTCCTTCAGGAGCCAGGTGAGCACATCCTCACCTCCCACACCAGGCCTGGCTGTGATGTGATCTGGAAAAGCAGAGTCTGGGCCAGCCTGGAGCTGCCCTGCTCTCTGCAGCTCAGCAGGGGCTGAGCTGTTGGATGCTGTGTTCAGCCTGGAGAAAAGGAGGCTCAGGGGTGCCCTCCTGGCTCTGCACAGCTCCTGCCAGGAGGGGACAGGCTCTGGTCCAGGGAACAGGGACAGGAGCAAAGGGAACGGCCTCAGGCTGGACCAGGGCAGGCTCAGCTTGGACAGCAGCAGGAATTTTGTAATGGAAAACCTTGTTCATTGTTCATTCACTGCCCAAGGAGGTTTGGAGTCCCCATCCCTGCAGGTGTCCAAGGAACACCTGGAGGTGGCACTCAGTGCTGGGGACAAGGTGGGGATTGGGCACAGCTTGGGCTCAATGATCCTGAAGCTCTTTTCCAACCTGAGTGATCCTGGGATTCTGGGACAAGGGTCTGGGTCACCAAAGCCTTGAAGGGGTGATTGAGGGGACAGGGAGGTGTCGTGGCAGTTAAGGTCCAGCAGAGGAGTGGGGAGCCTGACTTGGGCTGCAGGACAGAGCTGGATCAGTCCTTCAGGCTTTGTTGTGTCATTTCCTGTGCTCTGGTATGTTAAAAAAAGCCCAACACCAGGAAAAAGTGACTTCTCTGGCAGAAGAGGTAAAAGGGCTCTGTCACTTCCATAAACCTCACATACATAAATTATTGTCTTCTATTAGTCACTTAAGGGCTCAGTTGCTTAATTATTTTGATCACAGTAATCATTTATTTACAAGGTGGGGAAAAATGCCAAGCACTTCCAAGCCGAGCAGCACAGCAGGGAGGAGGCAGGGCTGCAGAAGCATTTCTTTCCTCCCCACAAGTCAAAATGCTTTTGCTTCATGGAGTTACAAGGTCCCTTTTGAGGTCCCTGCTGAGAGATGATGCTCTGATCCACAGCCTTTGGTGCTCCCCCAGGAAAGAGGTTCAGCAAAACCAACTTCAGGTCCCTGTGCAGGAGAAGGATCCAGGGAGAACTCAGAGCCCCTTCCAGAGCCTAAAGGGGCTCCAGGAGAGTTGGAAAGGGACTGGGGACAAGGCATGGAGGGACAGGACACAGGGAATGGCTTTAAACTGAAAAGAGGTAGGCTTAGATGGGATATCAGGGAGAAATCCTTCTCTGTGAGGGTGAGGAGGCCTTGGCACAGGTGCCCAGAGAAGCTGTGGCTGCCCCTGGATCCCTGGAAATGTCCAAGGCTAGGCTGATGGGGATTGGAGCAGCCTGGGACAGTGGAAGGTGTCCCTGCCATGGCACTGGATAAACTTTGAAGTCCTTCCAACCCAGACACTCCCATGAGTCTATGAGTGTTTGGGGAATGAAGGGGGAAGGAGGCATCTGGTAGAGTTTAAGTGGATCTCTCTAAAACCTGTTTGCAGCCTGAAGGTATTTGGGTTTTCTCCTCAAAGTCTGTCTTCCTCCCAATCCCCAGCCCAAGAACACGCTCTCACCTCCTCAAACCTCACCTTGCAGCTTCCCCTCTGTGTCTCCCACATGTTTCTGCTTAGGAATCCACCGTGCCTTCCCTGCTTCCCAGAGAAGGACACGCAGCTCTGAGCCTTCCCTAATTCCATGAGAGCCCATCAGAAGCTCCGTGCTGCAGCTCCCGGCGGAGCGCGGGGCAGAGACCGCAGGAAACAAACGGCCACTTTGAACAAACCCCAGGGCTCCGTGCCAGGCAGGGATTCCCAGCTCTTTACAAACCACCCTCCTAATAAAGAGGTAAAATGGGAACGGGGAGAGGGGAAATATGCATTTTCTAATCACCCAGATTTAGGCCTTCAAAGGATTTATTACAACCTTTTATTCCCATGCGTGGAAAATGGAATCTTATCTCGTGAGCCGGCTGGTCCAGCTCCACTGGGTTTAGAGCAGGGAGCTCTCTAACAACCTTCAGGGCCACGCTGTGCCTGGGTGTTAAACTTGCTGGAATGCATTAAAATATGGCCCTGGGAGAGGGGGAGGTCCGTGCACTCAGCAACGTGATGCCTCCAGCAGCTGCTCGTGCCATCGAGCCGTGCGGGAACAACAGGAGCCACCAGGATTGGAGCGAGAAAGGGAACAACCAGCCCAGCTGTGTGCTGCCATCCCTGCTCCCAGAGCCCTCCAGCCTGGTGTACCTGGGACTGCAGAGGGATCAGGCACGAGGGGTTGGGGGAGATCAGTGCCACGAACCTCGAATTTTAATTGCTGCGGTGGGGTCGGTGTGTGCCCCTGTGCCGCGCTGGGGAGCGGTGCCGGTGACACTCCGGGTGCAGCAAGCAAAATCCTATTAAGATAGCGTCACGGCCTCTCTGTTTTACTGTTTGCAAGCCAGCCATAACATCATTAAATTACACAACAGGGAGGTGCCTGCTGCCAAGGGGCTCTGCTCGAGATAAGATGTGGGTTGAGCCGCTGCCAAAATTTGAGTTGATATGACAGGAAATTTGGAGCGGGTTCAAGGCTTGATTCACACCAGACATGGCACTGTGCAGGTAAATCAGGGCAGGATTGATCCCTGGGGCTGTGCAGGTAACTGGCACCGTGGAATCCTGGGCAGGAGGGGTTTGTAGCAGACAGATTTACAGCTCTTCTTGTGTTCAGGGCTGACAAGAAGAAGCCAGAGCCTGGCAGGGTGTGCAGGTGAAGTTCAGGGAACTGTTTGCAGGTTCTTTGCTCTGCCGTCCCCTCCCCAGCCTGTTTGGGGAGTGGGAAGGAGCCTGAACACCAGGACATTGCTCAGGGAAGCTGCTTGTTTTGTAATGCCACAGCTGGAACAGCAGGAAAAGGAGTCAGAAGAAAGAGCTGCATCATAAAACTCCACACAGCCTGTAAGAACCCTGAAATAAGCCTTGCTGGTCCCTCTGTGTCACACACCATGTCCCTGCCACTCTTGTCCATGGGGGCTTTGTGCCTCTTGTGCCCTTCATGCCCGCTGTGCCCTTTTTTGTGCCTCTTTGTCCTCTTTTTTGGATCCTTTGTGCCCTTTGCTGCTGGAGGTGTGGAGTTTTGCTCAAGGCCCTCCAGACCTCAGGTTTCTCTCATGGATTGTCTGGACTTCAGCTCCATCTTTCAGATCTGTGGGGAGAACTCACCCAGCACCATCCCCACCTTGCCATCACTCAGCAAAATTCCTCATTGGCATTAAGGATTTTTCTTTCCTGCAGCATCTTCCAGGCAGGGAATTGATTCCCAACCAGGGCTCTGGAAGCCTGGGCTGTGTGTGCAGAGATCCCCTTGTCACCCCATCCTCCAGGACAGGACATCAGGAAGGAAATACTTTAGAATGATGCCTTGGAAGCAGTTTTCTAAGCGTTTTCCATTAGGGAAGCTTTGTTTCCATCAGAGGCTGCAGAGAGCCTGCCCTGCCCTGGGACTGCCTGGCGCTCCAGCTCTGCTATTACAGCTTTCCCTCGTGGCTCTGTTTCTGGCACTGCTGATTTTTGGGGTCCCAGATGGATCCTGGCCATTGCAGCAGCTCAAGTACCAAGTGACTGGGAAAGTGGCTTGGAATTCCTGTTACTGAGCTGTTCTGCATGGAGCAGTGTGTCCAGGCACATCCCACAGCACCCTTCCATCCCAGCAGTGGCTTTGCACATCTTGGCTGTGGATTTCAACTGACAGAATGGGTTTAGATGGCACATATTGGGAAGGAATTCCTGGCTGTGGGGGTGGGGAGGCCCTGGCACAGGGTGCCCAGAGAAGCTGAGGCTGCCCCTGGATCCCTGGAAGGGCTCAGAAAGGACCATCCCTTTCCCAAGAGCATTTCCTGCACGTCTGCATGTGTGCCCTCTCTCCCAAGCAGCTGCAAGTTCCAGGAGGCAATCCTTGTTCTCATATAACACAGGTGCTTATTCCCAGTGCTTTGGAACATCAAAAACACCTGGATGAGCCCTTCCACCTGAGGAGAGAGGTCCTGCAGGAGGGCAGGGTGTGCTGGAGCTTGGCCAGGGCTGGAAGAGCCCGTGGTGCGGCTCCGGCGCGTCCCCCTGCACGCTGCCTGCCGTGCTGCTGGGGACAGGGGACAGGGAGCTGCACTCACTGTGTGCCTGTCCTAGGTGACCCCGGGCCTGGAGGGACAGGAGGGGGAGCTGCTGGTGAAGGGCCCCTCGGTGTTCCGTGAGTACTGGAACAGACCCAAGGAGACGGCGGATGCCTTCACGGCCGACGGATGGTTCCGGACAGGTACGGGAACAACTGCCCCAGCAGCTGGCACAGGGACAGGGACAGCAGCTCTGGGAGGGTAACAAGGCAGGAACTGTGCACAGGGACAGGGACAGCAGCTCTGGGTGGGTGCACGGGACTGGAGCTGTGCACAGGGACAGGGAAGCAGCTCTGGGAGGGTGCACGGGGCTGGAGCTGGGGCTGGCAGCTGGGAGTGCAGGCTGGATGTGCTTCCAGGAAGGGGCTTTGCCTGTGCTGGCCATGGTGAGTCACCAAGGGATGGGGGGTGTTTGGGCTCCTTTGCTCCTAAGCATTAAATATCACTGCTTAATGTTTTCCTGGGAATTCAGCTTTGCAGACAGGTGGGACTTGTCTCAATTTACACAGGGACTGTGTCACAGAATCATTAGCTACCAACTAGAACCCCCTGAGAGGAGGGTGAGGCCAGCTGGGGGTTGGGCTCTACTTCCAGGCTAGCAGTGATTTGAGGAAATAGCCTCAAGCTGTGCCAGGGGAGGCTCAGGTTGGAATCAGGAGGAAGTTCATAATGGAAAGGGTTGTTCACTGGCAGGAGCTGCCCAGGGAGGTGCTGGAGTCCCCATCCCCGGAGGTGTCCAAGAAAGGCCTGGATGTGGCACTCAATGCTCTGGGATGGGTGACAAGGTGGGGATCAGGACTTGATGACCTTGGAGGTCTTTTCCAACCTCAGTGATTCTGGGATTCTCTGATTCCATGATACCCACAGCTCTGATTTCCCCAGTCCCCTCTTTCCTGCGTGTTAGCAGTACTGTGGTGGCAGGAGTCAGGCTGGATTTCTGATGCCTTCTGTGTAACCTGATTTATTGATGGTTCCTGAAGAAGCTGTGATTTATTCTAATTGTTCTCCCGAAGCAGAGCTCACTCTGCCAGCAGTGTCACCATGAGTCCCCAAGCCAGGCGGGCACCCCGGGCTGGGACCAGAGCATCACCAGCCCTCACGTGGGGTGCAGGGCAATCAGCATTAAAAATTTTTTTAGTCAACACTCCTGATGAATATTTCAGCTGCAAAGGAATAGCGTGCATTAATTATTGCAAAGAGATGTCTTTAGGAGAAAATGATTTTGAAATTCAGTTTAATTTCATTGTAATGCGCCGCAAACAGGAAGGGAGTATGTGTGTTTAATTGGCTCTCGGGGGTAAGGCCGGGAAGATGGCATGCCTTTGTCACAGGCCATTAGTGATACAGACTGCATAATGAGGGACTACAATCAGCTCACAGCTGCCGGCTCCTACGGGGAGAGAATGATATTAAATAGAAATCAGTATAAATTAAACTTAACCCTTTCGCCAACCGAGCAAAGCTCAGAGCTGGAAACGAGGGAGGGGAGCAGTGACAGGAGTGGGGGGTTCAGGGTGGGTCAGGGGGTGTTTGGACAAGCCCCCCAGCAGCCAGGTGACCTCCCTGATGTCCCCCTTCCCTCGGGCAGGAGGCTTGAGCTCCCTTCCCCATCCCTACCCCCACTCTGCCTTCCTTCCCTTCCTTCCCTCTCCTGCCTCCTGCTCCATCTCTCGTGGATGTCAGGTCAGTGGGACTGGGTTTTTCCCAAGCCTCATTTATCCAGCAGTGCCAGGAGCCATCCCATGGCCCCGTCCTCACCCTGCCTGGCCCAGCCTCATCAGCAGCCTCTGGAGATCACTCAGAGGTGGCAAATGTCCTGTGGTGGTAAAAAACCCTTGAGGGAATGAAAGGGGTTGTGTCCTGTCGCAGGGATTGGATCTGGAGGGTGAATTTTCCCCATTAAGCACAAATTGGTTACTCTGGAGCCAAAACCGTACTGGCAGGATCCAACAGAGGTGAATCCAGGCTGTGATTCCCTGTACCTGCCACTTCCAGCTCATCCAGGTGAGTGTTTTAGAGGTGAGGCAGAATGCCAGCACATGGTGTCCCCAGAACCCCAGCCATGGCTTTCCTGACTCTGTGCCAGCATTCTGCTCGCTGCTGACCCTTGTGGTATCCCCACCAGTGACCTGCAGGCTGCAGGTGGTGGCCAAGTCCCTCAGGGCTGGGGTTTCACAGAATTATGGAGTGGTTTGGATGGGAAGAGACCTTTAAGCTCATCCTGTCCCATGAACAAGAACACCATCCACTGGACCAGGTTGCTCCAAGCCCTGCCCAAAAAAAGGGGGAAAAAACCCAGTGACTTTGATGAATTCAAGATCATGGCTCTTCTGAGAAACCTCTGAACTCCTGGTGGTGCAGAGGGGATGTGCTGTTGCTCCCACCCTCTTTATTCCCTGGGATTTGTGCTGCTGTCTGCCGATCCCTCCATCTCTCATTTCCATCCCAGTGAATTTGATTATTTTTATTGTATTAACGCTGTTGACAGAGCTGCTTAGATCAAAGTCCCCTCCAGCCATTTCCAGGGAGACTGCTGGGTTTCCACCTGCTGTCATACATCCAAGTGGCACCGAGCCCTCGGCGGCCGAGCCGAGCCCAAAGGAAAAACGCCCGTGGGCATCTGGCTCCTGTCCCTGCTGAGCCTGCCCAGCTGTGCCAGCCCTGCCAGGTGAGAGGCAGCCTCCAAACCCTCACGTGCTGCTGAGAGCGAGGAGAGGGAAGGAAGGCATTTTTTAGGATGAGGCCCTGGCACAGGGTGCCCAGAGAAGCTGTGGCTGCCCCTGGAAGTGTCCAATGCAAGGTTTTGGAGCAGCCTGGGACAGTGAAAGGTGTCCCTGCCCGTGGCAGGGGGTGGCACCGGTCCCTTCCAACCCAAACAGTTCCATGATCCTGTGAGCAAAATTTAAGGGACCATTAAAATTAAAATTAAAGGGACCATTTAAGGTCCCTTCCAACCCCAACCATTCCATGATCCTGTGAGCAAAATCAAACCTTGGGAACTAGAGGGAAGCAGCAGAGAAACAGCAGCTTCTGTGGTCGTCCTGATGTCCATCCATGCATCCATCCATCCATCCATCTATCCATCCATCCATCCATCCATCCATCCATCCAGCCCCCCCAGCCTTGCCATGCCCACACGGGCCAGGCCCTGGCACTGCCAGGCTGTGTTATCCCTGCCCAGGAGGCAGTAGGTGCTTTTGGAAGCACGAGGAGGGCTTGGGGGTGTGGTGGGTGCCCCCCATGGTGCCCAGCACTGCCCCTTGCCCACATCTCCCTGCCTGGCCAGGGGTTTCTGCAGAGGAATCTTCCAATCCAGCCGTGCTCCCTGGGCAGGCACACGGCCCAAGAGCAGCCTGCTCCCTGAGGGAAGGGCAGCTTCCAGTCACATTTGCCCATAGATCCAGAAAATTAGAATCTGGTGTATTCAGGGAGATTTATTTTCAATTACAGGTTAAGGCTGAGACATGAAATAGCACCGGGTTTGAAAGTAGTGCATAAATCCTGCAACAAATCCATGTATCCCTGCTCCATATAATAAGATTTTATTGATTGCTATATTGTATCTGTCAGAATAAAACTCTCTTAATGCATGCATCAGGATGGAGAAGATAGAGAGCTTGTTGGGAGTAGAATCTGATTCAAGAATCAATGCACTTTGATTAATATGTCGTTAAGAAAGTAAGAGTTATTTAACTTGTTTGATGCACATTGCAGAATGATGACTCATATCTTTTAAATTTCTTTCTTTGAGCTGCATTTAAAAAAAACCCACAACCTTGGAGCTGTTTTTCACATTGTTAAATCTTGGTTTATCAGTGAATTTTTGCTGGATCCTTTTGCCCAGGTCACAAATGCCCCTGAACCCCATTAGTAATAAATCCTATGGCCCAAAACACTTCTCATATCCTGTTGTTCAGGCTTTGGAGGGAGAACAGAGTGGACCTGGTGTTTCTTTGTTCCTTCTGGATGTTCTGCAGTGAAGGAGGAAGCTCCAGGGAAAACAAAACAAAACAAACAAACAAAAAAACGCAACAACAAAAAGTTGTTTTTCCACTGTGATTACAAATCCAAGCACCAAGGACAAGCCCTGGCTTAGCTGGGAACATCCCACTCAGCACTGAATTCCCAGCTTGCTCAAAAATGGAACATGCTCTTGCTGCAGCCGTGAGTCCCAGTGCAGGGAATGATCCCAGTGACTCTGACTGGTTTCAGTGACCCCCTGATGTGTCTCTGTCATTTTCAGACTGAGCTCTCCGGTCCACAACTGACACCAGCTGCAGATCCTTGCCATTCCCAGCCCTGGCTGGTGCAGATTCCACAGAATCATGGAATAGTTTGGGTGAGGGAAGGACCTTTCAAGGCCGTCAAGTCCAATCCCCATCACCACCAGGAGGGGCTGAGGGAGCTGGGAAGGGGACAGCCAGGGGGGGAAACAAGGGACAGGATGAGACAAAATGGCCTTAGAGAAGGTTTAGGGTGGAGATGGGGGAAAATTCCTTCATGGAAAGGGCAGTGGTGGAGTCCCCATCCCTGAAAATGTTGAAAAAACACGGATGTGACACTTGGGGACATGGTCAAGGCTGACCACGGTGGTGGTGCAGGGCTGATGGTTGGACTTGATGATCTTAAAGATCTTTCCCTGCTAATTCCATGATTCTGTGATTTCCACCCGTTCTGTTGGGAAAAGCAAAGCCTCCTGCAGTTTCCCAGCACAGAGGAATGTGCTGTTTGTAGGAAAGGCCCTGGGCAGGTCATCCTTGGCCAGGCACAGCTCTTCCCTGCTCTGGGGCTGTGCCTAAGGAGAAGGAGCAGGATGCAGCCCCGTCCCTCTGGCACAGGCTTTTCCCAGTGCTTGGCTGTCCCCAGGGAGCAGCAGGTGTTTCCCTGCCAGGGGAATTGCTCACATCCGTGGGTGGAGCACAGACACCTGAAAGAGAAAATACTTGAGGCTGATCAAGGCAGATTATAAATAGAAATGCATCTAATTAGCATCTTAATCTGCAGGTTTTCTGTTTGTTTGCAGTGGCTTTCCTACTCACAAATCCAGCTAATGCAAATTCTATTTTTAAAGGAATGATTCCTTAATTGTAATGTGCTGAAATTATGTGAGTTACCGGTGTGATCCCACCGGATGGAGCGGGGG